AGAGAGAGAGAGAGAGAGAAAGGCTTAGACGAGTCTCGGCACAAACTTTGCGTCGTTTAACCAGTCAGGCAGATTTTACAAAAACAGTTAATTGCAGCCTGAATAAGCAAGTGTCAGGAGTCGCACTCTTTTGTTTTAATTGGCTTCTTTTGTTGTTGTTTTGATTTAAAATAAAAAGAGGAAATGATCGTTTTTGATCCAAGTCAAAAAGGAGAAATAAAATGAAAAGTGGGCACACGGGAGAAAAATTCCCGAGGAAGCCATGCAGAGTCTGAGCAGCTGCTCATCAGCAGCTAGGACATCGCACACTCACACACGCACGCACACACACACGGCAAAAGTTTCTTTTTAAAAATTAAAGTTATGATTAGTGACCTCGCAGCTGTCAGGAGGAACTAATGTTGTGTTATTTGACCAGAAACCTTTGACAAATCACACGTATATTAGGAAAAATGTATATTTATGGTAAATTTAGTTAATTTGAACCTGACTGCAAATATTTGAGTATTTGTGGTCACCAGCAAATATCTGTTTTATTATGTTCAGAGTTTGGAAAAAAATAAATAAAAATACTAAACTTTATTTTTTAACACTACGTAAATTTTTGTAAACTTCTGTAAATTTTGTACGCAGAGTGTGGGTGACCTCAATTATTTTATGAAGCTACAGGAAGACACAAAGAATTAACTGTGCCGGCTAGGATAGAGGTGGGAAGCGACGTCACAGATTCAGCAGCCGTTTCCATAATCTCCAATCCAGGTCCGTTCATAACTTAAATTGTAAAAAATTACGTTTTTTTTAACGCACGTAAATTTCATAAACTTCAGTAAGCTTCATAACCGTGGTGGGGAGGGGGCATCATTACATTACTTGAAAATGGTCTCCAAATAATAAAGTTCATCGCAATAATTTTTGAGACAATTTATTGTCCAGGAAAATGTCCATCATGACGTGCCTCCTTAAAAGTAATTTTCAAATATACCATCCAAATCCCACTGACGTTTGAGCTTCTAGTTCCCTGATTGATAAAAATCGGATCATCTTTTCATTCCCCCAGCCAAACAATCAAAACGGCTATTTTCCTATTTGTCATTAAATGAACGAATAACAGACGTCAAAAATGAAAACATTTAAAACCCAAATAGGTAAAAGTGGAAACAATGTGCAACTAAGTTTTCAGTCTAATTGTACTTTCACTACAAAATACTTGTATCATCAAATCAAGCAGGGCTAAATACAGCGGGTAAAATAAGTATTGAACACGTCACCATTTTTCTCAGTAAATATATTACTAGAGGAGATGTCTGTAAC